CTTAATAGATAGAGCCTCCACTTCATCATCTAGCAGCCCTTCCCCTGGGGGCGGATGGAGGTGAACTTACTGTAGTGCTCTGATGCTCTTGTTGTTGTTCTTTTTCTTTTATTTTATTTCTCATTTCAGGCGGCTCAGAGCATCGGAGAGTCGTAGGGTGACGGAGTTCTTGCATAGTCGTCGTCGCGTATTTTTACTAGTATGGACTCCACAGTGATCTTATGTTTCCATTTAGTCATTTGAGTTTGTACTCATATTGTTAAGGCAATATGCCTTAGTACGATTTCTAATCGATTCATGTTGAGACATATCATGTTATTTTAGACTCCAGATGTATATCAGTTGTATTCCAGTTTAGTTTATTTGGGACATGATTTTATTTATGAGATATATCTTTCCGTATCATGTCTATAGTATTTATTTCCCTTATTTACCTGTTTTGTACCTTCATTTATATTGGTTTCCACTAGAGGATATTACTGTGATTGGTGAAACATGTTGTTGCACAGTGGAGGTGCATGACAGGTTTGACATCTCTGGGTTCACCTTGGACTGCAGCCAAGTGTGAAAACAGGGGCGTCACACATTTGTTGTGTGCCTAATTGTGAAGTTCACTTTGTAATGCACTTGTACACCGAGAGGAGTGTGTGGTGAGGACGGAGTCGATACCGAGAGGAGTGGCGTCGGTGGCCTAGTGAGAGGTGATAATTCCGAGCACTTGAGGGAGTCAATACGTGAGGACCAACACTTGAGGTTGTAGCATGTGTATATACTTTGTGAGGATTTGTGAGAGTTGTCGGTTGACTTGATTACCGAGTGTGTAGAGTTTTCGGTTAACTAGTAAACCGAGTGTGTAGAGAAGTTCCGGCTTCCAAATCGGGTGTGTCGTGATAGTGGAGATCTTCTCGAGGTGAGGAGCGGAGACGTATGTCATACGGACCGAACTCTGTGAACATATCATTTGTTTGTGATTGCATTGGCGCATTTATTTTTGTGTTTATATCTTGTATCGCTTTTGTATATTGCTTGTTGTTTATATTGCCCACTATCTTGTTTATGTTTATTTCATCCTTGTGTTGATTGATTATCCTTGCATATATCTTGTTGCATATCATATTTGCTAGGATATTTGTCAATAAGTTTTAAATTGGCATAAAATCGGATTAAATTAGCATAAACCCTATTCACCCCTCCCCCCCCTCTAGGGTTCTTTCCTAGTGACATTAGGTTACTTTCAGTTTTGGGGGGTTTGGTGGCTGATAGGGTTTTAAAATACTGAAATAGTACTGACATTTTGTGAATATATATTATATATAGAAGAAAAACGGGTGTGGGCCTGAAAATGCCCGAAACCAACCCGAACTAGGAAACCTGATCTAACTAGGAAAATACCTCTTTGGTATTTTGATTGTAACTTTTTCATCCGATCTTAGAATGAGGTTATCTAAGACTTGTTGGAAAGATAAAGAAGAGACCTACAACTTTGGTCTTTTACACTTTTCCAAATTCTAACTACATCAGTGAGTAAAATATAAAACCTCTCAACTAGTCATTATTCCCAGATTTTCACTCTTTTGGCTTTTGTGCATGTTTTGTGCATTTGCACTCATATTTTCATATATATATATTGAATTGATCTCAAATCAATTCTTATCATATCCAAACATAAAAATATATTATTTTTCACTATATAACATATTTATCATTATTTATTATAAAATATTCAAATTTACGGGGTTTTATAGTATTTTAGTGTTTCAAAAATCTCTTTCTCAATCTCACGTCTCAGTTCCACCCACACAAAAGAAAAAAAAGGAAAAAAAAAAAAAGAAAAGAACCAGTTGAATTTCCTTACTTGTAGCTTCTCTTATTTTTGCATACTGATAGAAAATACATGTCCTGCACGGTTTGTAATTTTTTTCCATTCAATCAAATTTACTTCTCAATCTCACGAATGAGGTTAATTAGAAACCAATTGAACCCTTCCATTCAATCAAATTTACTTCTCAATCTCACGAATGAGGTTAATTAGAAACCAATTGAACCCTCCTCATGCTAGGCAGTCTATTTCCAAAAGAAAATCTTTATATAGAAAAACAAATGATTACTGATTTGAAGAACGAGAAATTTAAGGGCTTAACAACTACATCATACTATATAATTAAATTTTTTAAAAAAGGAAAAATAAGAGGTACCTTTCATGGCGTTCTCTTTCTCTTCACGAGATTTTTTGGAGTCTAACCGGTTTCTTCTAATGGAAAGTGCGGAGAAAAGCTTCGGTTTTAATAATTAATTAAATAATTCTAATTAATGATAAATTATGTTTCTCCCATAAATTATATTTCCTAAAATAACCTTTTTACCCATAGTAAATTACAATTTTGGGTGTGGAACACCCCATAACCGTCAAATCTATCTACCTAGAATTGTGAGATTTATTTTTAAGGAATTTATTTACGGATATGTCATCATTGCTCCAACTAATCTCTATGGAGCACCGAAGCGGTAGACAATTAATTTTCTATAACACTTTTCTTTTTTTTCCTTTTTTTGAAACAAATAATAAATAATAAATAAAGAAAAGTGAGGACACGTGAGACCTACAGTTAGAGATGTAAATAGGTCAATTTGGCTCCAAAAAATGGGAAAACCTGTTTTCAACAATTTGAGACGGAAATGAACGGAGAAAAGGAAATGTGAATACCATCCAAAGTATTCTTTGGCTTTTTGCAATGGTTTCTAAGAAATAACGAATCAGGACCTTACTTAATTGTACTTTGATAGATAAAATATAAAAATTATTAGAAAAAATGAAGAAGAAATATTCTCAAAATCTTAAACGAGGCATATCTCAGAAACATGTTGAATGGTCAAAACATGTTGCATCTTAATCATTAGTTTTCCTGAAGAACTAGATTACTGATCACCCATGCATTATATGTTACAAATAGTGTGGCCTCCTAATAATAAGTATATCAAACCCAATATTGATTAACCTTATAATACTTAACAGCTTGAAATGTTTATTAATGTGCATGTAATGCTCCCTTGTGCAGATAGAATTAGGAAAGAAGGAATACATTTCACCAGAATCTCCATCAATAAAATTTGAAGAAGTTTGCACACTTTTTCGGTTCAGTGAATAAAAGAAAAAAAAAAAATTAAGACTCGTGTACTCGATTGAAATTTTCAGATTGCACGTTCACGTGCCCAATGCCAATTGTATCCAAAGGTCAAACTTTCAGGAACGTGTCCGCTCATTGGCCAGCTCCTCTGTTAGTTACGAGTCTCAATCTAATCCATTTTTCTATCTAAATGCATCCCTAACAAATTTTCCCACTTTTGGAGAGGTAAAAAGAAAATATCACTAGGGACTTTATCCTTTATCTTCATTGCTCATGAATTCGTCTCGTCCACTCGTTAGGGATCACTGTGGATGCTACTCAACCTTTCATATTTTATATTTTAATAAAGGACTAATTGAGATACACTCATCTAGGGGTGCATACCGTCTCGATATGACTCCGATGTAGTACTTATATACATATAAAAGACAAATTAATATATAAGCGAATATAAATGTAGATATAGAATGAAAATGAGATAATATTGAAAAAAATAGTAGTTCATATTATACAAGAGACTTCATTAACTTGTTCATTGTATCTTAAAAGCTAGAATTAAATATCTTGATTATGAATATATATAACATTCTAATCTACAAAGAATTATGGAAGCGAAAATATTATTAACTAAAAATAATACCTCTAGTGCGTGTAATCATTTGCTTAAAAGAAAAACAAAGTATACTCCTAATAGTATTGAAATTACTAAAAATAGGAAGTATTAAAAATTACCCTAAAAACTCCCCATAATTGAGGAAACTGATATGTCAAATTTGATATCAAGTCGGATTTATTTCCTAACAAAAACTGACTCTACTATTATCACTAAAACTTACAAAAAATTTGCACAAAGTCTAACATCTCTCAATCTGATGGAATTTCGTGAACCTAAATGTCACAAACCAAACCTAGATGAGTTTGGTTGGAGCCATCTCAAAAAAAAATTCGTTTTCCATATATTATATATCTAAGACTTCCGAATAGAAAGATACGGGTTATTCTTCATGTGCAAGTCAAGATCCTTTTTTGACCCGCACTCAAGCTTTTGACGATCCAATCGTCTCCATGAGCTCAAATGCATCAAATCAAAATCATTTTAAACAACGAATGCAATCATATTTGACCACATTTTCATTTAGTCCTCTTTAAGAACTCCAAATTGTAAGGAAATTGTCTCGCGTCTATTCAGTTGTGTGAGACTCGGTTTGGAAAAGGCATGGTGTGAGATTCAGTCCCACATTGGACAAAAAGTAAGATGGATAGATGGTTAAATATGCATGGACTCGTGACCCAATAAGGATTAGTCATTTTTAGCCAGTTAGGTCCAAGTAAATTAGCCTAATCCATCTCCCAATGAACCATTCAAACCCTAACAAATTGGTATCAGAGCCCATGGTCCGGTTGGCCTTTGTTGGATGCTCTGGTCTCTTCAGGATTCTGTTACATGGATTATAAGTCAAGGTAGAGTGCACGTGGCATTACTTTATATCTCCCTCTGGTATAACCTGGTCCAGCTTGGATCAAGTTGTAGGGTGACTCTATTTGTTTGCGAAGTGATTGAGACGCTATCCCCATTAGCCAATCCTCTGTTTTTGGCTCTAGTTGGACTCAACTTGATCCGAGCCAAGGTGGAGATTCATAAAGAAGTTGTCTCGCATTCAGTCAGTTGTATGCAATTCGGTTTGAAAAAAATGCATTGAGTGGGATTTAGTCCCACATCGGATAAAAAAATAAGACGAATAGATGGTTAAAGATGCTTGGACTCATGATCCAACAAAGATTAGTCATTTTGAGTCATTTGGGTCTAAACAAATTAACCCTAGTACATCTCCATAACCGGCGAGCATTCTAGATGAAAACAAAAAAAAAACTAAAACAAGGTATATAAATATCTGATCGATGACCTCAAGGGGAGTAGTACCGAAATGACTGCCTGCAATGCCACAAAGTTTTTGTGTGGTCGTGCAACCATGCAACAAAGCAGAAGCAGATAGCCTTTTCCCCAATTCACAACATCTCCGACTGACAAGCCAAAGGAAACCGCTTTCAGCATTTTGATGATTCCCCCCTTTTATACTCATGCTTTACTTCCCTTATAAGGAGAGTCAATGTATGAAAAATTTGCAGTTGAATGGAGAGAGAGAGAGAGCAAGGAATTGGTTCAGTGAAAGCAGCGATTAGCCTCCATGGCCAGAAGTTCAATGGAGTAGACAAGGTACGAGCACATTTTTCGTTTGCTTTTGGTTTTTGTTACATAATGTATTTTGTTACAGGTAATGAGTACGTTATCGATATCGCAGGACGATTTTCTGACTAAATCTGGAGAATTACTGAAAGGCAAATTAAACATGGACAGGCTAAAGGAAACCAAGAAATCCGCAGAAAAAGAGAAGGATCAAGCAGAGATAGAACTCTTGAAGGCAAAGGGCACAGCAAGAGAACTTTATTTCGGCGTTGAGAAGTTGACAAACGCCGAAGCAAGAAACAGAAATAAAGACGAACAGAAAAACTCTGAATTGGTACGAGAATTGAGTGCCATGAAGCAAAAGCTTAGTAAGTTGAAGTTTGATATGGACACTGCTGTGGGATCAAAACTTAAAGCTGAGAAGCTGATTGAGTCCTCAAATTCTAGAGTGAAATCCTACACAATCTCTGCAGAAGAGTTAAGGGGAGAGGTAGAGGAACTGAATGAAGAGCATGTGCTTGTTGAGCTCGCGAGGATTGAAGCAGAAAGAGAGTGCAGAGAACTAGAAGCTCAGAGAAAAGATCAGGCTGCTCGATTCTCTAAAAAAATAAAAGCAAATAAAGAGAAGATAAGCTCAAAGCAGAAAGAAATAGACGAGGCTAAAGTTCTGGAGACAAAGCTTGCAGTTACCAATTCAGATTTAAACGTGTTACAAAATGAAATGGAGCAGGTGAGAGCAATGGAGAGAAATTTTCAGAAGGAAAACCTCGTGAAAGAGTCTGAAGCAGAATCTGAGCTCAGATCAGCCAAGAACAACTTATCAAGTATTGAAGAAGAAGGGTTCCGGTATATGAGCTCAATGGATGTTATCAGAAAAGAATTGATGCTTATTGTGAAGGAAACCAAGCAGTTAAAGAAACAAGAAAGAAAAGCAGATTCGAGCATTCAGCAGCTCAATTCGAGGCTTATGAATGCTAAGTCGAAGCTAGAATCTGCATCAATGGCCGAAGAGAGATCTAGAGCTATAGTCTCAAACCTGTCAGAGGCCCTCCACAAACTACGAGCAGAAATTGAGAAAGCAAAGAGAGATAGAGAAAATATCACTGAAGAAACAACAAGAACTAAACAAAACATCGAGCTTAGTCAGGAAAAAATCTTATCAACAGAGAAAAAAGTACTAACTGCGATGACGGAGCTTGAAGGGAGTAAAGAATCAGAAGCAACTGCGCTCAAGGAATTGAGAGTTGTTGCAGAAAGAACAATGAGAAACAGAGTTTTCTCATTTGGGCAACACTCTACCATTACAATCTCTAAAAGTGAGTATGAATACTTGATCAAAAGTGCAGAAGTGGCCCAAACGGTTGCAGATAAGAAAGTAGAAGCAGCGCAGGCTTGGATTGAAGCACTGAAAGCAGAGGAAAAAGAGATGGTTTCAAGAACTGAACTGGTAGAAAAAGAACTCAAAGAGATTAAAATCTCAGAAGAAACCGAGTTGTGCGAAATTCAACCTGCAACACCAAAAAGATCGATGAGAGAGAACAGAATGTCGATTGGATCAGTGAGAAAGACAATGATGAGGAGGTCGTCAGTGTCGATGGGAGTCGCTAGACAAAGTTCTCGATCTCCATCCTTTTCAATCAAGAGGAGGGCAGTGATGCCTAATTTAGTTAAGTTTCTTAGAAAAGGCAGAAATCAGAAGTGAAATTGTAGAAGAAAGAATTTTCCGCATCCGATGCAGCATCAAGTGTGTAGATATTAGATGTATCACTGTTGATATATAAGAACGACATTCGTGTTTTTGGAGCAATGGCACTGATAAGTCTTGTTATTTCTAACCAAATTAGGAGCGCAAATAGATATCTCAAATAAGGGAACCATTTATTATCAGCATTCTTTTAAATGTATATGAATAGTATATTCGTGATGAACATAGTATATATGTTTAACGTCAAAGTGTTTATTATTTTTAAGATTTGGTATCATGAATACCGGTTTGAGGAGTTTATATGCAAATTGCAGTTAATTTTTAAAATTCTTTTATTGTGACTTGAAAATTCCAGCAGATTTCAATGTTAATTCATATTCCTATTACTAGTCTATACTGGCACGTGCAAATACACTCGTAAGTAATATTAAATTTTTATCTAAACAATTCTTGGTTCTCACTGGTACTTATGTATTATCATTTAATGTGTAATAATAGTATTTCTATTAAAAAATGCACGTGCATGCACGTACTCAAAAATAATAAAAATTTATTTAAAAAGTATCCATTGTTTGAAACCCATCCATAGGCCAAAGGCCTATGATATATATTTATACTAGTCAATGTGAATAGGTTGAGTACCCAAGAGTCACCCCCACTTAGTGGGGTGTTACACCACCATAATGGGGTGTGAATGGAGGGATAATGAGGGGGAGGCCAAAGGCCTCCCTCATCTCATAATACTCCCCTTTATCCATCCATTACATTGGGTTTAGCTTATGAACACTTCAGGGTTCGTAAAGCTAATGGGGTGGATACTTCTGGATCCAGAGTAAACTTGTTTGCCTCGTTAAAACCTTAGCTGTGGAAAACCCAGTGGGAAAAAACCATCAGCCTAAGGAAAAAGAGTACAACCCATAGGTTACTCCTCCTGAACCATACAAGCTTCAGGCTTGTAGGTCTTTCAGATGTCTCATCCCTATTCCTTTTACAAGTTTTACAAAAGTACATCTAGGCAGAGCCTTAGTGAACAAGTCAGCTAAATTATTACATGATTGGATCTGCTGTACTTTAACTTGCTCCTCCTCTTGAAGATCGTGCGTCCAGAAAAACTTGGGAGATATGTGCTTCGTCTTGTCACCATTGATGAAGCCAGACTAAAGTTGAGCAACGCAGGCTGCATTGTCTTCAAATATAGTAGTTGGCTCAAGGTCACCAGTCTTCAGGCCGGTAGACACTAAGATGTGTTGAATGACAGAACGAAGCCAAACACATTCTTTGCTGGTTTCATGGATCGCGAGGAGTTCGGAATGGTTGGATGAGATTGCTACAGTGGTTTGCTTGACAGACCTCCAGGAGATGGCCGTACCACCGAATAAAACACAAATCCGGTTTGTGATTTCTCGGTGTGGGGATCAGACCTTTAACCTGCATCTGAATAACCAATTAAGGTGGGAGACCCACCCTTCGGGAAATATAATCCCAGGTCTATAGACCCTTGGAGGTAGCGCAGAAGATGCTTAACTCCATTCCAGTGGCGCTTTGTGGGCGCTGCACTGTATCTGGCTAGTAGGTTAACTGAAAACGCTATATCGGGACGCGTACAGTTAGCCAGATATAATAGTGCTCCAATGGCACTGAGGTAAGGTACTTCAGGACCTAGCATTTCCTCCCCCTCTTCCAGCGGACGGAAGGGGTCGTTCTTTACATCCAATGATCGAACAACCATTGGTGTACTAAGAGGATGACATTTATCCATTCGGAAATTTTTAAGTAATTTCCGTGTATATATGGATTGGTGTAACAGGATACCACCCTTAAGGTGTTCGATCTGTAAGCCAAGACAATACTTTGTTTTGCCTAGGTCTTTCATTTCAAAAGTATTCTTAAGGCTTTCAGATATCCCAGCTATCTCTGCAGGAGATCCAATGAGATTTAAGTCGTCGACATAGACAGCGACTATAATGAATCATGTTCCCGATCTTTTTATAAAGATACACGGGTAGACTTTATCATTTGTGAATCCTTGCGTAGTGTTTGCGTCGAAAATTGTTGTATTCATTGTGGTATTCATTACAACTTTAGTCGTTACAATGAAAACAAAAAAAGATAATCTTTTTTATAAGATCTTTACACAATGAAAACAAAAGTTACAACTCTCGTCAAAACAAACGCAGAGATCATTTATCGGTCTTCTGCTTGCGTGGGATCTTTGCCTGTGCCGGGGTTTATCCGTGGACCGCCTTAGATCTGGATCCGGTTGATGGAAAATTCGGCAGAGTTTCGTGCTGAAATTTCGTGCTCCTTCACTCTCCAATCCAGCAGCACCTCGTCCTCTTGATAAAATTCCAGATCCAGAAAATGGAGGCCTTTGGCTCATATTTATAGGCCTCGAATGCGGTTATTTGGATGAGAATAAGTGATTTGGCTCTATCTTCAGTCAACAGCAGCCTAACCACGTTTGGGGATGATCTCAAGTCAGTTAAGAACCCCTGGAACCGATAAACCCTGCAAAAACCAATTTAAAACCGTCAAAACGTGTTTTGAAACATTAGACTGCGCGGCGGAACGATCTGACCCGCGCTCGCGCGGGTCGGAATAATCCGACCCGCACTTGCGCGTGTCGGAATAATCCGACCCGCACTTGCGCGGGTCGGAATCATCCGACCCGCGCTTGTGCGGGTCGGATTGGATTAATCCGACCCGCACTTGCGCGGGTCGGAATAATCCGACCCGCCCTTGTGCGGGTCGGAATCATCCGACCCGCGCTTGTGCGGGTCGGATTAATCCGACCCGCACATGCGTGGGTCGGATTGATCCGACCTGCGCTTGCGCGGGTCGGATCATTCCGTCCTGCGCTTAGCGCGGGTTCGCCGACTTTCTCCCTTTTTTGGTTTCTTTCTTTCGGGACTTGTTCTTGTCGCGTATTCGATAGATTTGTTGATTTGTATGCTCCGTCGCGAGACCAATCGTTGAACGCGCGTTGGTTAATGTACGCGTGCTGATCATGCATGTTGACTGATCGCGTGCGCGGTGTTGACAGACGCGCACGAGCTGACCGACGCGACGAGATGATTTAACGTGCGCTGACTGATTAGCGAATTTTCTTGACTCGCCTATTCATTGCTTCGAGCTGTGTACGGACACCTATAGGCATTTTTAGACGCCTACAGATACCCCCTCCAAAGTATTCCAGACTCATTCTTTTATTGAGGAGTCTGGAATGCTTTGGATAAGATAGGCCATCTCCTCAATTTCGTAGAGTGACCTTGAACTATCTCAATTCTTAACTTCTTCAGTCTTCAATCTATTCATTGTTTTGTCGAATAGGTGAAGTTCTTCCGGCGCTGCGTTTATCGTCTGACCGTTGTCGAAATCTTGAACTGAGATTGGTGTGTAAGTTTCTGAACTTAGCTCGTGCCATTGAGTTGACTTTGAACTAATCCTCTCCGTCGGGAATTCATATCTGATTGTAACTGAAATCCTTGGAGTCATCTTTTGCCTTATTTTGGCGAAATTGCTGATGCGTTGACCGGCATCGATCTTTACTGTAACGCGTTGACCGGCGTTAACACAGTTTATACTCGTACGTTTGCTGGAGTCTACACAGTTTAAGCTCTTAAGGCATTGGAGCGTGACGGTCCCGAATGTTGGGCTGCAGGACCAACTATTAAAGCTGATTCATCTGCACGTGTGGATCTTATCCTGAAGTTTGTTGGATGTTCAAGTCATGAGACCAACTAATGAAGCTGATACGTCAATGACTCGCATTTATAGAATTTTTGGCAAATTCTCAGCCATCAACGGGTTTGATAAGCCTTTACCGACTACCGTTTGAGTCGGGCTAGCATGCGGATTGTTTAAGTCCGTTCCGCATGTAACGTTATGCTAAAAGAGTTAACTCTTTTAGTGCTACGATATTGAATACGTAGACTTCGTCTTTCTCCTGTGAAAAGACTAAACAGCGACGTGTATCAGACGTAGACTTTAAGGTTTTTGGCAAACCCTCAGCCTTCAACGGATTTGGCGTGCCTTTACCGATTTACCGTTTGAATCGGGCTTGCATGCGGATTGTTTAAGTCCGTTCCGCACGTGACGTTGTGCTAAAAGGAATGAACTCCCTTAGACTTGATGCTACGATATTGAATACGTAGACTTCGCCATTGTTACGGGAATAGGCTACCCGGCAACGTGTGTTAGAGGATTCGGGATAAAATTCCTCGCGCGTGTGAAGCACGGATTTTGGCGTTATGAATAACGACCTGCCACAACGTCGAATATGTGGACTTTTGTCCTTTTCACGGCAAAAGACTAACCGGCAACGCGTGTTAGGCGTTGACTTATCCCTACTTAGGGTTCGGGATAAAATTCCCCGCGCGTGTGAAGCACGGATTTTGGCGTTATGAATAACGACCTGCCACAACGTCGAATATGTGGACTTTTGTCCTTTTCAAGACTTCGCCATTTCTTACGGGAATATGGCATCCGGCAACGCGTATTAGGCGTTGACTCATCCCTACTTAGGATTCGGGATGAAAGTCCCCCAGACTGGATTCTGGTGTCTTTTTCAATCGGTGAAAGACTAAACCGGCAACGCGTGTTAGGCGTAGGCTTATCTCTATTTAGGAGTTGAGATAAAATTCCCCGTGCACAAAGTGCACGGATTGGAAGTTGGGAATTGTGTTTTTTTTAGGGTAAAGACAGACTGGAAAATGGAAGAGGAAGAATTTTATATTCTATCTTCCGACACTGAAGAGGAAGAATTTTATATTCTATCTCCGGTTGGAAAGGAAACTCAAGGTGGGATCTCCACCCTCAGAATCCGAAATGATGAAACTAAGAGTGGGATCTCCACTCTGAGAATCGGAAAGATTCAAACGACCCTAACTTTTATAGGATTGGTCATTCGATCCAAAAAGAGTCCCTCATTTATTGAGGAGAAAGCCCAATTTCGACCCTAACTTTTATAGGTTTGGTGGAAAAAGGAAAAGATGGAAGTCTTTCGTTTATCGAAAAGGATAACTCAATCTTAGTCCTAACTATCTGCAGGTTTGACTAAGTAAAGTTGGAGACAATCCTAACTTTTATAGGTTTGATTGCTC